TTTTCATTCTTTAACTAATTAGATATGTGCACAAAAAGTGTCATTCCATCTGTAAACTAGATTTTATAATTATTTCAAAGACTCAATTAGTGCAAGGAAAAAAATATATAAAATTTAAAGTTCAATCCAAAATAGCATTTAACATATCCTTCTTATACAATAGCGATCTTAAGATACATATATAATCACGGTTAGTTTGAGTACTTTAAAAAATTTATTAAGTGAAACTTCTTAGAAAAAAATGCATAGTATAAAGTTATTTTTAGTTGCCATTTATGTCTTATATAAAAATATTTCAAGCCCAGAGAATTGGAAGTGAGAATACATGGCAGATTATATTATTTTTAATCATTAATAAAGGGAGGCTTCGTACCTTCATTAATAATAATTATAAAAAAATACATTTCACTCAAAATAAATGACATTTAAATTTTATGACGGGATTTATTATAAATATGTATAACTTAGCTATGATTTATTATTATTATTTTTTTTTAACAATGAAAATTTTTCTTCGAAGAAATAAGAAAAAGAAAACTTGAAATTAAATACAAATTCAATTAATCTTAAGCACGTTCTACCTTGCAGGAGGCCAGGCCTCCAAGTGCTGGACACGATTTATTTTTCTTTGATGTTAACTTAGCTAGGATTTTGAATCTTGCAACCACTACCAAACGAATATAAAAGTACATTTTTTAAATCACCTAAAAAAAATCAATCTCCAGAAATACGCAACTAACCTTTACACTCTTTAACCATTTATACTAATTAAAAATATTATATAGTCTAAATTATTTTAAATTGTATAAAATTAATCATTAAATAAAATATAGATCTCTTGACATTTGAAGTTTTTATCTTATTCAATAACTCTTATTTTATAATTTAATACAATGTAAATTGTAAAACAAGCATGGGGATCTATCAATTTTTGATTGTTATAAAAATTTAACTTTTATAATATGTTTGAGTTGATGGAAATGGAAAAGAAGAGAGGGGATGATAAGATTTTTTGAAAATACTATAATTTGATTAATTAAAAAATCTTTTCCTTCCATATATTCCTCCTAACTAAAACATATGGCTATACTAAAAATAAATAAGTTAGTAATCAAAATTGCATGAAAATACAAGTGTTGAAACTAAGTGAGTAGTAAATCACTAGAAAAAAAAATTAATTTTAAGATAATAAGTGATTTATTATCTGATTTAACACATTTATTAACAAATATTATTTTTTTAGTTTAAAATTAAAAATAGAAAAACTTAAAGATACATGCATTATGCATATACTATATAAGAATTGATTTGATCAATTATACTTATATTGTAATCAACTATTTACTCTCTCCATGTCAAAATAATAAATATTTTTATCTTGAAATTAAGCATTTAGGGATAATTTTTATTTTTACTTATTTTATCTTTAAAAAATTAAAAATAAAGATACTTTTTAATAATAAAATGAATAATTAAAATTAAGAAGTATCATAAATTAAAATAGAAAAAATTTATTTTCTTTGAAAAAATAACTATTATTTTTAAAAAATTTAAATAAAAAATATCTACTATTTTTTTTTTAAACAGTAAAAAACTTATGTTTTTTTTCCGGAGAAGGGGAAGGGACCTAGGATTTGATCTCAGATCTCATTAATCCTACGCACATCCGCAAGGGGTGGCCAATAAACCACCATGTGCGGGACAAAAAAATATCTACTATTATTCTAAATTAAAA